AGAGACAATTGTAGCCCATCTCACATAATTGAGAGATGGACAGCAGATTGTACTTCAAGGAATCAACATGTAAGACATTTGTAATTGAGTGATCAAGTGTAATAGCTATTTTACCAAGTCCAATAACATCCCCTTTTGAATTGTCACCAAATATGATATTCTCATCTGAATTTGTAGTTGGGAAGTATGATGAGAACATACTCCTTTCTCCGGTCATATGATTTGTACAGTCGCTGTTAAGCACCCAACTTGACCCAAAATATTCTTGGGGCCTTGCATGTTAGTCACAAGAACTTTAGGAACCCAAATGAAAGTATTATGATAAACATTTCGACCATTGCCAACAAACTTGGCAAACACTTCCCCCTTGCTGTTGTGCTGCAAAACAAAGTTAGAATTCAAACATTGTTGAGGTGCTTTTGCCTTTGGTTGATAAGCATATCTATTTGGAGTGACCTAGATAGATTTCTTTAGTTTTTGGACAACCTGCTCAGGATGAAACACCTACTTCTTGGGCTTGACATGAGCAGAGGAGGAGAAGGTGGTCTTCCCTTTTCTGTTGGGGGCGACACTACCGCCCTTCACAGCGGCACTACCATCCATAGGCTGCAGTGCTGCTCTGGGCTGGCCTTGTGCCACCATCTGTGCAGACCTATCTATACCTTCCTGCCCTTTGCTCACGAACTGAACACACTCATATCCATTGATTATCTTTCTCCCATTGGTTTTACCTCCATGAGTGTGCCCAAGCCCATCCTTGATGCGTGGATTTCTTCCACTTTTGTATTGTGGCCTCTTTGGTTTTTCAACTTTGCCACCAGCAGGTTTTTTTGCCTTCCATGCACCTTTTTTCTAACATAGCATTGAGCCTAGCAATCTCTTTTTTCATAACCTCCAAGTTTGCAAGGTTAGTGGAATAAACATTTAAGTCAAGATTATAGCATTTTCCACATCCTTGGCTAGTGGAGGGAATAGAAGTGTCATTTGTGTTAGAAGGAAGTGGGGTGCTCTCGCATAGAAGATTATATTGCTTCTCAAGTTTGTTGTGCTTTTCAACTAAGACACAATACTTGTCATTGAGTGCAATATTTGCCTTCTTTGTGAGAGCATGTTCTTTTTGCTCTTTGGCCAAGGCCTTGTTCAAAGAGTCCACCTCACTTCTCTCTAATTCAAAAGCTTCCTTGCATCCTATATACATCTTTTCGGTTTCCTCAAGATATTCATCTCTATCGGCTAGCTCGGCTTTAACACTTTCTAATTCCTCTATTAGATTTATGATGAAGAGCTTGGTCTTAGGATCCAACTTTTTAGATAATTTAGCATATTTCTCAACATCACTAGTATCATCATCACTAGAATCACTAAGTTCACTACTAGAGATGTCACTAGGAGGTGGAGGAGATTTGGCTCTTCATTTTACCTTCTCACCCTTTGCCATAAGACAAACGTGAGTGGAGCGGTGGTCATCATCATCGGACATGTTGTTGAAGAGCCTTGGTGTAGAGGATGGCTTTTGAATGGCCATGCTTGCAACCTTCACATCCTCATCACTTGACTCCTTAGTTGAGTCACACTCATGCCCAATGTGTGCCTCTCCCATTTGCTTGTATCTCTTTTTGTGTTCATGCTTGCCTTCATTGTTGTCCCTCTTGTATTTGTTTTCTTTTTTGTCATAGGGACACTAAGCAATGAAGTGCTCCGTGCTGCCACAATTGTAGCAAGTCCTCTTCTTCTTGTTTGGGAACCTTCTTTGCACTATTTTATACCCATTCTTTTTAGCCCCTTATGATAGCTCTTCATGAACAAAGCTATGTCATCAATCTTCATGTAATCAGCCCCATCATCTTCATCTTCACTTGAGGATGAACTTGGATCATCATTTTGTGGAGTTGACTTGATTTCCTTAGGTTGACTTATTGATGCTTGCTTGCTGCCCTTTGTCTTGTTGGAGGTGCCTTGATTGCTTGATTTATTGGCCTTGAGAGCTACTTCCTTGATTTTCATGCCTTCTAACTTGGCTTGCAACTCACCAAGTCTTCTTCTCTCATTGGCTTCTTCTCTTTGCATGTCAAATGTCAACAATCTTCCAAGCACGTCATTAGGTGTGAAGTGCTCAAACTTCTTCTTATCTCTAATCAAGGTAACTACGGTCTTATTTCTTGGTGAGTAGGCTTCCAACATAACCTTCACCACTTTGTGATCATAAAGCTCATCACATCCATAGCCTCTAATCTTACCCACCAAGGTCATCAATCTATCAAACATCTCTTGTGGCCCCTCTCCATCAATAATCACGAACCTATTGAGCTTAGCCATCAACAAATCAATATTTGATTTTCTCACTTTATCAACACCTTCATGTGCTAGATGCAAAGTGTCCCAAATCTGTTTTGCAACATTGACATTCAACACTCGGTTGTACTCATTTCCATCCAAGGTACTAAGAAGAATACTTGTGGCTTGGCCATTGAGATGGACAACAGCTAGCTCCTCATTTGTTGGCGCTTCGGGATCTTTCGGTGGCTGCAATCCATTTACTACAATCTCCCAAAGACTGGGGTGAAGACCTACAAGATAGGCGCTCATCAAGTGTTTTCACTTAGCGAAGTTTGTCCCATTGAAATGAGGCAACTTGCCCATGGGTACATTGATAAAGGACCTTTTGTTATGGTTAGACAAATAAGAATAATTAAAGAATACGGCGGCATATTTATTCTTGTTGTTGCTGCTGCCCTTGTCATCACTATTCTTCTTCTTGTCCTTGCTCTTCACCTTCTTGCTATCTTTTGAAGCATAGTATGACACATCATCATCTCCATTGTTCGAGCTACTAGAGAGCTCACTAGATGATGCATCATACTCATTCTTCTCTTGCTTTTGAGCTCTTGCTGCCCTTCTCTTAGCTCTTGCCTCTCTTATGATTCTTCTAGCTTCTTTTCTCTTCTTCTTGTCTTTGAGTCGCTGCTCTTCCTTCTTCTTTTCTCTAGCTTCTCTTGTTGCGATCTTGGTGGCTTTTCTTGCCTTTCTTCTTTCGGCACCACTGGTCTTGGGTTCTTTGATGGTGGCATCACTTGTTGTCGATGTGGACAGCTCGCTGCTGCTGCCGACATCCTCGACGTGCACATCACTTGCGTCCGTAACGCGAACGGTCCTCGAACCTTCTCCTTCTTCTATACTTCACGCGGTAAAGCGTATACGAAGCAACCTCGCTCCGATACCACTTGTAGGATCTATAGAAAGATAAAGGAGGCCTAGAGGGGGTGAATAGGCTTGTAAAAATTTAACTCAAAACTCTGTTAGAACAGAGGGCGGCACTGCCGACCTTTCAGGGCGGCACTGCCGACCTTTCAGGGCGGCACTGCCGCTCTACGAAAATAAATCTAACATAGCTGAGATTTTACAGAGATAAACCTAACCCAACTAGCTGCTTAATCCTACAATAAAAAGATAAGATCCAGTTCGAAGACTGAATACCACAGAAACTCCACACAAAAGTGGATCGAGCAACCAAACCCTAACAACAGCTAGCAATGAGGTAAACCAGCAAGTAAACAAGATAAAGCACGCGAGAGACAAGATTTATCCTGTGGTTCAGCTCACCACAAAGGTTTGCCTAAGTCCACGTTGTTGAGGAAGCCACAAAAGGCTTGAGCTTGCCACAAAGGCTTGCCTTACCCTCGTTCTCAAATCAAGAGAGTGAACTCTTGAAGTGAGAGGTGATTCCTTAGCTTTTGAATGAGGTTACAAACCTCCCAAGGCTGCCACACAAGTTGGCAAGCACAAGGGTGACGCCTAGCCGGCTAGGAGCAAGCTCCAAGAGTAACAAACCCTAGAACCGCCGGCTAAACGTGAACTAAATACTCTTAGACTTTGGGAATCAGTGGATCTGCTCTCCAATCGAGTTTTGCTGTCTTTTCTCTCAAGAGTAATGGAGGAGAGAAGTGAACTTTGGTTCTGTCTTGTTTCGAGCAGAATGACTTAGTGAAGAATATAACTGTTGTGGGCCGGGCTGAAGGGTATAAATACCCCTCAAGCTCAACGGTCAGTTAAGGGCGGCACTGCCACCCTAGCCAAAACAGGTAAGTTGATATGAAATTTGGCTGGTTGTTTTGACTAGGTGAGAGGATGTAAATATGAGAATTTGAGCATCTGGTTCAACAGTTGACCAACTGTCCTAAAATCTCTCTTAATAGTACGGCTTTCCCTAAATTTAATTTTAAAACATAAAAGAATTTAAACTTCCTTTGAGCTAGGTCTGGCTACCTTTTGTAATTAGGACACCTGCAACCTGTACATCATCCTCATTTTTCGATTCCCTGCTTGTCATCTTGATAAATCTCATTAGTCCTCTAATTTGGTGGTCATCAATGCCAAAACCCATAATAGGGTTTAATTGCACTTACAGACATGCGGGGGCAGCAGGTGGGTGTGTGGGCTCAAGCCGCGTAGCCTGCGCGTTTTTATTAGCATTTTCGAACTTTGCTGTGAATGTTTAAGAGGAGGAAAAAGAAGTTTTTCATAGAGAAAAAAAAGACGCTCTAGGAGAATATAAAAACGCTCAAAAGAAACATTGCAGTTGCATATTTTTTAAGAAACATTTCAGTCGCATATAGGCTCCGTTCGCTTGGATGAATCTGAATGAATCTGAATGAATATGTGAGGGAAACAATATGTGAACAGTAGCAACCAGCCGAGAACAGTGTTTTTTAATGACCAGCCGAACGCGGCCATAATGAGACATTAGAAATTTAAGAGGGTGTGTATATGGACTTTACCCTTTTAAGCACAGATTAAGCAAGTAGGCCCATAGTGTAGATGGGCTTGAACCTAGGGGAAAAACACAAAGAAACAGAAACAGGGTCCTTGCCTCTAGACAGGCCATGGGCACCGCCGCCGGTGGCCAAAGTGCCAAACCCTCGGCCAGAGCAGCTTATCGATCACGTGAATCCACACTGACACAAGTAACGAGCAAACCATTAGCGGCGCGGCGAGGGCGGCGATTAGACACCTGCGGGGAGGGGCACGCGGAGGATGGGGCGGAGGAGGAGGTTGGCCTTCCGTCTCGCGGTGATGCCGAACGCCTCGGTCATGTCGAACTCGGCGGGGTCGGACACGCCGGGCGCTTCCCAGTCAAAGTGGAACAGCAGGCTGGCGAGCGCGAGCTCGACGTTGGCGAGCCCGAACGACATCCCCGGGCACATCCTCCGGCCGGCGCCGAACGGCAGGAGCTCGAAGTCGGCGCCCTTGAACTCCACGGCGCTGGCCTCGGCCTCGAAGCGCTCGGGCCGGAACTCCTCGGGGTCGCCGGACCAGTACCTCCCGTCGCGGCCCAGCGCCCAGACGTTGATCAGCACGGTGGTGCCCGCGGGCACGTCGTAGCCGAGCACGCGGCACGGCTCCTGGGACTGCCGCGGGAGCAGCAGCGGCAGCGGCGTGTGCAGCCGGAACGTCTCCCGGATGACGAGGTGCAGGTACCGGAGCTCGCCCAGCGCGTGCTCGGCCACCGCGCCGCGCGCGCCGAAGGCCTCGCGCACTTCGGCCGTCGCCCGCTGCATGGCCTTGGGGTTCCGGATCAGCTCCGCGATGGTCCACTCCAGCGTGGTCGCCGACGTCTCGCTGCCGGCGCCGAAGATGTCCTGCACAGATCGAGACAGACAGAGGCTGGTCGTCATTAATGCATGGAGTACGACATGTCGACGAACATGGTGTCACATGTTGGTTTGTTAGTTGCCTTGTTATTTTCAGGGACAAACGATGTGCATACTGCAGCAAATGCAGTCTATACTGTCACGGTTGTCAAGCTCACGCACCCTGCAATTTCCTGGTACGCGCACTGTGACAAACGACGCGACAAAGAGACAGATCCCTGCGGGTTTGCCGTGTGGTATCTACACTCTATGATTGAAGAAAACAATCAACAAAGGATTAGTAATAGTAAGCAAAAGAAAACTTACAAAGATGACGGCTTTAAGCACGTCCATGTCGAGCGGGATTTGGAGGCTGCCATCCTTATATATCTTCAGCAGCACGTCGACAAGGTCCTCGGCCTCACCGGCGCCGGCGCCGGCGCTGTCCATCCTCTGCAGGTGCTCCTTGATGATGCCGTCGAGGATCCCGAACACCGTGTCGCGGCACTCCTCCGCGCGCCGCACGGCGCCGCTCAGCTGGCCGACGAGGCGGGAGGACGGCCACAGGTCCGCCGGGTTGAACCCCGCCGAGAGCCCGATGGAGCGGTCGAGCTCCCGCAGGAACACGTCGCGGTCCCTGCACCGGTCGCCCATCACGGCGCGCACCGTGGCGTCGGCCACGAGCGCCGACAGCCGCGCGCGCATCTCCACGGGGCGCGACTCCGCGGCCGCCGCGGCGCACGCGCGCAGCATGGCCGCGACCTCCTCCTCGCGGATGGCGCGGAAGGACAGCACCCGGCGCGCGCTCAGGAGCTCCGTGATGGCGAGCTTGCGGAGCTGGCGCCAGTGCTCCCCGTAGGGCGCGAAGATGATGTCCCGACCGTTGTTGGTGAGCACGCGCACCGTGGCGCTCAGCGGCCGCGACGCGAACGAGGTGTCGTGCGTCTTCATCACCTCGCGCGCCGCCTCCCTGGACGAGATCACCAGCGTGGGCACCTCGCCGATGCGGAGCAGCATCACCGGCCCGTGGCGCCGCGCCAGGTCCCGCATCGCGCGGTGCGGGAGCTGGCCCAAGAGGTGGTGCATGCTGCCGATGAACGGCAGCTGCCACGGCCCCGGCGGAAGCCGCAAGCCATGGCGCCCGTCCGCCGGCCCGCGCCGGCGCTTCGCGAGCACGACGAGCAGCGACACCAGAGCCAGTCCGAGGTAGACATAGTAGTGGTCATCCATTGGCGTGTGCGCACGGGACGATGCTTGCTTCCAACCCCAACGACAACGTTGCTACTATACCTTACGAGGATGGCAAGAAATGTTCTTCACAAGCCTGTAACACTGACATGGCTAAATTATTGCTCCTCGCAATCGCAGTGTCGTTTTGTAGAGTGAGCGGCCCAACAATTTGGGCCATGGTCAGATGCCGCGGGGAACAAGACAAGGCTTGCACACATGTTTATGCATTTGATGAGATTTGATGAGATGACACTGTCAGAACATATTTACTAGTCCCATTCTCTTTCATAAGCGCACAAGTATCATTTAAGCTCTAAAATCTTGGACTAATAATTTTATTATTTTTATAGTACAAAATTGATATGCTTTGATTTATAATCAAATGTATTACTCAATTATCGTAAGTCATAAACATAAATAATATAATATAACAATAAATAAATGATCATAATTTAATTTGAGAGCATTCTTTTTTTTGCAAACAATTTGCGAGCATTCATGTAAGTTGTCTCTTATAAAATTATAAAAGAGAACAGAGGTAGTAATTTATACACATTTATGAAAGTGAAAGTGAAGATGAACTAACAGCAAGAGAGAAGGTGCTCGGTCTTAAGAATGAGGATGACTACCGATCATTGGATTTAGATTAGTTGGATGATGTTCATCGCCTGAAAAGAAAGTAAAAAAATCAGGCGCATGTGATTTATCAACTCTCTTTTTTTTGGCAAATTATAATATGTAGACACTCATACATCTATGTGCACCTACACATATGTGTACATACTACCTTATGAATACATCTGAATGACTAAACCAATAGATCTTAAGATTGACGAAGTTACTACGTACATCTTGCTACCAATCAGTACATCGCCGCCCACTATAAAAACAACGTCATTAAATCTTATATAAATTTATGATATGAGCTATTTAATCATAGTTTTTTTATTAAAGTATGTTTATAAAATCTAATAAATTTATATAGACCTATTATAAAAGCACTTTCCAAGCCAAAAACTGTAAATGTGAAATTCTCTTGTTTCTGAACTAGATGTTTAGGATTTATATGATGATGGTTAAAGTTTTAAACTAAAAGTTTTATCGAATAACGTCAAGAGCATCAAATATTTATTATGATTATTACATGGTGTATGTAGGAATTATTGAATTATAAAGTGGCGTTTTCCCTTATTCGTTCTGATATTTTAGCTGTGACAGGGAAGGGCGACCTTGTCAAGGAATAAAACAGATAAATTTCGTGGACATAGTCAAATATGTGTGTGAAACAAAATTCGAGAATAGCAAATCAACTAAATAAAAATGACGACGAACACTTGAAGAGTCACAAGTATTTGGGTGAAGCATCACATTTACTCCCTCTGTTCTAAAAGGAAGTCACATAGAGTTTTGTACAAATAATTTTTTTAGATTTTACTAGGTTTATAGAAAATATTAGCAATATTTATATATTTAAATAATTTTATTATATAAATATATTCATGATTAATCTAATAATATTTATTATGCACCATAAATATTAATGAATTTTTGTATATATTAAGTTAAAATTAGAAATATTTAAATTTTTGGAAAGTGAGATCGACACTTGACGGAGAGAGTACATTTGAGCACGACAAGGTTCAGCGCAATGGTGTGCCAAGAATATTGGACCAAACAGATGCTGTTTCCGGCCTTCCGGGCGACAAAGACAACGAGTCCCAACGGCATTATGATATACTTAAGCATGCAGACCATTGCGGTGATTGTCCACTTAATATAATTTTTTCGTCGCTAGCGAGTTGTCCCAGGCCGTTGGGGACGCCCTTAATATATGCCAGTCACACCACTGTCACAATTAGGTCTAATTTTTTTTTCTCTCTGTTTCTTTTCTGATGATGTTGTTTTTGTCGCGATCCACGCAGAGAAGATGACGAACTGCGATTCTTCAAGACCACACGAATCTTGCGCCGGCTGCTTTCATTTTAGTCAAGAAAGAGTATGGATGTCTGTGGGACGGGGCCCCGTCTTATTAACCGAATTCGTTTTTTTTAAAAAAATATAGACGTCGACACCCACAAATATTCATGTGCTGACAGCCTGACACAGGTTCTAGCATAAAAAAATCTAACCGGCTGAGCTACAATTAGTTAGCAACCGAATTTATTTAGTTCTAAACATAAGCATGTAACTAAAATATATGAGAGGCCTAGTCGTTGGTGATGTATTTTTTCCTCTAGGGCTACTTATAATTTCTACTATATATTAATAAAAACATACATCATCAGTGCCGGATCATGAGAGAGAGAGGCCTAGTAAACAGACCAAACTCTTTTCAATATTGTATCTATGAAATTGTTGTTGGATTTAATCGGCTTGGCTCATTTTTAGTTCAATTAATTCAAATAAAACCTCAAGCCCATATTAAATGCAAATAGGTGCGTTAAAGTCTTAGTATCATATGAGATTTTGACTAAATGTTAGACTCAACATAAAGAGGTGCCGTGTGTGCACGCTTGTCTTAAGAGCAAAGGGCGAGCCATGCGCACACACGAGCCAAGCTGAGCCGCGGTGCCCATGACATGTCATGATGCGGGGTGGGCTAGGTTTTGCCACTCGGGTTGTTTGATGGAGTCATCAGACGGAAATTATCGCGAACTGTTATGGGAGGTGTCGACGAAATATGGTCGGTAGTCCATCTAGGGGTATGCCCATGATGATAGATTGTCGGTAGACGGTGTGTGTAATCAGGAACCAGATGGTTACAGAAGGCACAAGACACAAGATTTATACAGGTTCGGCCGTCGTGTTGGCGTAATACCTATGTCATGTGTCTCATTATTCTGTATTGATTGAGGTGATCTCTAAGGGGGACCCCTGCCTCTCCTTGTACACTCATGAGGAGGAGAGTTACAAGTAAAGTATTCTATTTGGTACTATTATAATATCTAGTACAACTTGTAATCTTGCCGTGCACGCCTCGATCTTACGGGCTGGGCCACCTCGGATGGTGCGGCCCATGTACCATCTTGTGGTACCCGGGGGTATATTCCCCACAGCTAGTCCCCGAGCGCCATGTATTCTGATGCGACACGCCATTTTAACCTTCTCCGAACAGTGAGACTTGAGTTCTTGACATCTCCGACCATCGTTGTCGCCGGAGAAGTAGGTTGTCCGAAGAATGTATGGTGCTCTTAAGAAGAAAGAAAAAGATTTCCGTCCTGGGAAGTGTGCCCACTTGGGTCTCTGTGAAGAAACGTAAGGGTGTCTTGAAGCGTAGCGTCTTTGATCATCAGAGGCGTACGGGTCGAAAAACAAGCACATTCATCGCGAGGTGAAGTGTGCCCACTTAGTCCCCGAGCCTGGTAGTAGGTGACGTAGGCACGTGGTGCCAGGGTCTAAAAAAGTCTTGTTAATTAGATACAGCATGCACCATCAGGTGCATCGTACCGATGTAGTCCCCGAGCTTGCTGGAAGGAGAGGTATGAGCCTTGTAGCAAGGTCTAAAGGAGAAAAAAATATCCCAACTGTATGTGAGTCGCCAGTCGCATGTAGTCGAGACACGAAGTCCCCGAGCTGTGATTGGAGAGTGGTCGAGGCAGTCCCCGAGCACAAGTCAAGGAGCGAGCGACGAAATCCCCGAGCTGTAGTCAGAGAGTGATCGAGGCAGTCCCCAAGCACAGGTCGAGGAGCGAGCGACGAAGTCTCCAAGCTGTGGTCAGAGAGTGGTCGAGGCAGTCCCCGAGCACAAGTCAAGGAGCGAGCGACGAAGTCCCCGAGCTGTAGTCAGAGAGTGATCGAGGCAGTCCCTGAGCACAGGTCGAGGAGCGAGCGACGAAGTCCCCATGCGTAGCTCAAAATTCCTGCAATATAAATATGTAGAATGGTAGTACATGATGTACAAAGTAATAAATTATGGAGAAAAAATCAGCGGTGAAGAAATAGCGTATGACGCTCAGCAGTCATTTGCAAATGAGCATGATGTGATAAAGCAGTTGGTGCTTTGTAAACATCAGCGTTAATGTGAAGTTTGTGTTTATACTTAATATAAACTGCCCGACCAGTTAGTGTGTAGCTGAGTCTCCAGCGCCCTAGCTAGCTCGTTAACCATAACGCGGGACGCGGAGCCCGTGTACGTGTAGGAAGAACAAAGCGTCGCTAAGGAGCCGCTGCCAACCACCCATAATGCAGAGGGCAAACGCTCGTGCACGTGTAGGGAGGAGCCGGAGATAGGGCCATTTCTGGAGACATCGAGCGTCAATATGACTAGTCGAGGATTTGCATTAAGTATTGCTGTATGTTATATTTAAGATGGTATACATGTTCAAACGTTATTTGAAGAATAATCATGACGAGAATGCTGTGGAGAAACGCCGTAATGAAAATTATATTAAATATAAATATTAGAAGTGTACTTATCTTTGGATAGAAATCTGGTCGATGGCGATAAAGTTGTCCGATCCTCGTACTTTTCGGCCTGTTGTGACGGTGGTCGCGGTTGTCATAGCGCCGTTCTTCGTGGTGATCATCATTGCGATGTGGTCTGGTGGTCGAGGTGGTCGGAGCTTGGCGGAGCCGCTCGAGACGTGGTCGACGTGGTCCGTGGTCGATGTGGTCGGAGCTCGGCGGAGCCGCTCAAGACGTGGTCGACGTGGTCGGAGCTCGATCAGTTCGGTGGTCGGAGTAAGTAGTCCGGACGACGCCGTCCTTATGTTAGTGATCGGCCTTAGGAGATTCGGTGAAACCATTGAGGTCGGAGAAACGATGCTGTACGGCGGAGCAAATGGGGCGTGGCCGAAGCGTGCTTGATGCCATATGTGCGTGTGCACATGCAAGTGCCGCAGCGATATATAGTTGGCCTGCACGTACATGTACACATACTTCTTCCTTATTTGCTTGCATGCATGCAGATTTGCTTCCATGGAGATCTCTGTTGTATTTGATTCGAATTGGAGTAGAACTCCCGTGCGGATGCGGCTCGGAGTGCAAACGCCACGTAGTTG